GGTGTGTGCAAGAAAAAACATTAGCTTCTTTATGCTGTTATGCCTCAGTAGAGTGGAAATCAGCTGAATGTAAGGAAATCGTCTTGTTAAAACATCATCTACTTTGCGTCCTTGTCTGCACTTGGCCATAACAGGTGACGCACAGATTGGATGAGCAAAGTGTTCGAGTATCAGAGTTGCTTAGAGGAGAAAACAGCTGAGAAGCGTCAGTTTATTTTAGTTTTGTGCTCTAAAAAGGCCCTCGGAGGTGTCATCAGGATGGGGTGTCATAAAATGTCAGAGAACACGAAACACAAGGCAGTTCCTTATTTAGCTCCCCCCAAAATTAGACAGCGAAGCTACAGTTTTGTACTAAAGCTCAAAAATAGGCTGTATGGAAATGTCTTCAGATTTGGAATTGTTTTAATGACCTGAGGAGGCCAATAGAGACATTCAGATTTTGTGCCTCATTGTCATGCCATAGACCTTGAGCAGACTTTTTAAACTCTAAACCTAAAATATGACGTGAGAAGGTTTGAAACATGTATTTACAATATTTACAATTTAGTTATTCAGGTCATGTGGAGGTAGGTTCAAGATCGACTTCATTAGAGAGGAAACAAGAGTTTCAGGTGATTTTGATAATGCTTCGATTTCTTGTCTCTCTGTTGATTCTGTTGTTTTTCCAAGTTCTGAGGATCCATGTGTTTGGAGGAGTGAGGTGGTGGGAGAGTGGGTCAGGCAGGTTTAGGAAGTATTTTATTCCTGATGATTATCAGCTTGTTGGAGTAGTTCATCTGTCCACCAGTCCATGAGGAAATCAGTGTTGGTTTTGCACAAAAATGGAACATGTTAAAATAATCTCAATATCATAAAAAAAAAAAAAAAAAAAAAAAAAATCTAAGAACTTACACCAGATTTCTTCATGATTGCCTGTGTGACAACATCATTCATTCAACTGTAGTCTGAGCTGCTCTTTTAGATAGATGGATGGATACTTTATTGTCCCCAAGAGGAAAACTTGTCTTGGACATCATGCTCTAAACAAAGCTTCTTCCACAATTAAGTACTTTGTACATTACAAACAATAAAATCATATGAGCACCACAATAATAATAATAAAAAAATAAAATAAATAAACACTGATTGCTCAATAAAAACACATAATTCAATAAAAACATAAATTGCATGTTCCACATTCCAGCAAGTAAATGAAACAACAAATCAGACCAGAGCATAAATATGCATAATATATTAGTAGACTGGCTGTCTTTCTGTTAATGTTAAACATTTAAGCCTACTTGAACCATTTTTGAAGGCTGCTACACTCCATTTTTGGAACCAGCATCTGGTCTTTAATGATGGGGAGCATGAAGTCCATCCTACATCCCAGCAGGCAATCATGTTGTCACATGACCTTGGTTTAAATAATTAAATTAATTACAGCTAAAGATGTTAGTAAAATGAATATTTAAATAAACATCAACAAGGTAAAACCTTGTGAATTAATAAATGTCAACATCCGCAAAAGTTATCTGAGGTGCATTTTTATTTTTTAACAATGAGTGGGCGGGACTTAGAACTGGTAGTGAAACTACTGAAGCTGTTCCATTCCGGCTTCTATTTCTGGATTCAGGTCTAGGGTCTACCCATATTTACAGCCCTTGGTCTTATAAAGCAGCACAGCTGTTGAGTGGTTGTTCACAGGTGAGGATACTGGATCAGGAAGTGATGTGGCATTGGGTGCAGAAGGACACCAGTTCAATTTCACCAAGAGAAATAAGGGAGGAGGATGCCTGGATCAGATAGGAGCCTCACACTCATTTGAAATTTTTATTAAAAAAAAACATTTTTAATTATTGTAACAGAACCACTAGACTGAGGAATAGCTTCTACGCTGAAAATGTTAGACTCGTGAATCCTTAACCAGGAAAATCACTGAAAAAAAAAAAAAAATCACTGTAATGCCACTTGATTGTTGATATGTGCTGCTGATCTCATGCTGCTGATTTATTTCACGCTGCTGTGTCCATCTGCTCACACAGACTCATGTTCGTGCGACTGTTGTTTGGCGTATTGTTTTTGCATTATTAGTGTTTAGCATATTCTTAGTTTAGCATATTTTTAGTTCATATCTTAGATCTTATTACTGTTTTTCTTTAACAATTTATACTTTTGTTGCGTGTAACTGGGACCCTGAGTACACAATTTCATTCCACCACATGTACCACATGAGATGCGAATGACAATAAAAAAAAAAAAACTTGACCTTGACCTTGACCTTGTAAATCAACAAATACCTAATTTCTAATTAGATAGATTTTCTTGTTGAATGCTTTAGAATGTGAGAAGATGAACTTATAGCATTACAAAAATTATTCATATTAAGCAGCTTACATCTCGGTGCATTATGTCATCCTAGTTTGTTTGTTGTTTGTATTCAAAACAGAAAATATCAAAACCATTAGGTAAAAAGCACAACTGGTTTCCTTAACCAGTACACTGTTTTTCTTTATTACACAGACGGCTCTGTGTTCCTGCTGTAGCTGTCTAACATATGGAATATGTTTACAGCTTCATACTGTCATGGATCTGAATCACAGCAATTATGGGATGAGATCATTATGCTTGATAGGTCATTAGTCACAAAAACAAACTTTTTATGAGTTCAGAAAAGAGACAAATCATTGCTCTTTTTGTTTTTCTGTTTGAAAGCTGAATTTGCAGCTGATTCAACAAGGGGGTATTTATTTAGAAAAGGAAGAGCTTAATTTTGCCTCTTAGAAAATTGCAATTTAGTTTTTTGGAAATAAACACATTCTTATTTGACCTAAATGCTCCAGTTGTTGGGTTCAAGATTAAAAAAAGAGAATTATAAAGATGACTGTTATTGCCTGTGAAAGGAAAAACAGCAATAATGTTTTTACCTGTGCCTGTGCGTGGTTGTCCTGTTTGCAAAATTTCTCATTAATCAGTGTCAAAACAGAAATTAAACTCCCATAAAGCAATTTTTGGATAGATCTCATCACCTACTGTACTTATCATATTACATTTAAGATGGCAGCAACAGCTAAGCAACCTCAGCAGAACCAAAAATGACCACAACAGCCAATTTTCAAGAATTAGCTGTGACACTAGCTGAGACTAATCCCCAACATCCCACCTAAGCACTAACAAATTTAGTGAGAAATTTTCTAAAATTATCCATGAATGTTTGGATTCAACTCTGTCTGTTTGGAAGCAAAATATCTTATGAACCACTAGAACCAATACAAATTGAAATAATTTTACAGATATTTTGTAAAACATTGCTGTGGCAGCAACTGAGCATTGTACACCGAGCACTGCACGTTGTGCATAACTTTGGCAATAACTTTTAACATTAAAATTACAAAGCCCTCAACAACCTAGCTCCATCTTATGTTAGAGATCTTATTGGTCCATATTTTCCTAACAGAGTACTTCGCTCAGATTGCAGGCTTACTTGCAGTTCCTAGAGTTTCCAAAAGCAGAATGGGAGGAAGATCTTCCAGTTATCAGGCTCCTCTCTTGTGGAACCAACTTCCAGTTTCTGTATGTAGGGATGACACATTGTCCAGTTTAAGACTGGGCTTAAGACTTTCCTTTTTGATAAATCCTATAGTTGGGGTTGGCTTGTTATGCTGCCATAAGCTTAAACTTCTAGAGGACAAATTGACCTAATTTCTTAAAATGAATTATTACAAATTTAATAGTTTTCATTTTAACAAAGTTCCTGCTCAGTCATCCAGGTACCACATTCAATAACTCTCAGTCGGGTCATCTAGACAGTTTATTTTTTATAGAGACGTTTTGCTCTCTATCCGGAGGGCTTCATCAGTCAAAGGAGTTCCAGTAAACTGTTTCCCCACCAAGCAGTAAACTACTTAAGTGGACCAACCAGTTTGCTGGAGCTAAGATGGTTTCTGAGGGACGTCCTGTCCCTCGTTGACTCCTCCCAGGGAGGCAGCCACAGCCAAAGTGGTTCAAGGCAACAAAGTTCATGCTCAATCATCCAGGTACCAAATTCAGTAATTCTCAGTCAGATCATCTGAACAGTTTTTTTTAAAGAGATGTGTCGCCCTCTATCCAGAGGGCTTCACCAGTCAGAGGAGTTCCAGTAAACTGTTTCCATTTTATTTTATTATTATTATAATTATTTTAACATGTGATTCTTGACCTAACATTGTGTATCTGTTCCTCCTTCCTGTTTCTCTTAAACCCAACCGGTCGAAGCAGACAGCCATTTGTCCTGAACCTGGTTCTGCAAAAGGTTTCTTCCACACGAGGGAGTTTTTCCTTTCCACTGTCGCCTTCGTGCTTGCTCAAGATGACAGTCTGTGATGGAGTTAAACTCAAAGCAGTCTGCTCCTCTGATAAATAATGTGATTAACTTACTTTTTATGTATGTGAATGTTTCTGTTCAGTACCCTGAGATGATTTCTCTCGTGACTTGGTGCTATATAAATAAACTGAAATGGATTAAATTGAATTAACCTTGCTTTTCTAATAGCAAAATATCTTATTTACCACAAAACAAATCTTAAGAAAACTTTAGTAATTACTGGATGCACATCGATAAGTGATTAAATTGTAGATACCCCAACTAACGTTAGCCAACACAAGTATGAATATAAGATTTATAGACATTCATCTGAAATTATGTGTAGCAGCTGATCATCCTCCCTATATTGTATTATTTAAGTTTATATCTGGCAACACATTCTTTCAAGGAACGCTAGGCATTTAATTTATGATTTACAAGAATTGATGCCAAACAACAAAATAAAATATAACCTAAAACTATGAACTTTGAATAATAAGATTAGTCCAGGAGTGAAGTCACACAGTAGATTCTTCTCTGTGGCCCACGTGCTCTTTTATCTCCAGACTTCCGCCCCTCTTCAGACAGACCCCTCTGCCTGAGCGTCACTCCTTTCACTTGCAGTGCAGTCCCCCACACTTCCCAAACTCAAATACTCACTGTCCCGCACACACGCACACGCACAGCCACACGCAGAAGCACAGCGCCAGATGCTCTTTACAAACAGTCCTCCTGCCGCGTGCAGCGCGTCTTTTCTTCTCCACTGACGCACAAGCGGAAAAAAGACCTCTTTGGATTTTTAACTCCGGATTTTCTTTGGTGAAGTTTTTTTTTACATGAAGTTCTCTAAAGTGCTTCTTTTTGGGATTTACCTCGCGCTCTGGAGTTTTATTGTGGTGACAGATGGGTGAATGAAGTGATTCAGGGAGCACCACATGCACGGAGCCGCACAGCTGGATTAAAAAAAAAAAAATAAAAAAAAAAAACGAAATTAATGGGCAAAATGATTAATTCAGTTAAATAATTTATGTCTCCGGACCAGAAGATTTCAAGGTATGATTTAATTCTCTCATATTATACAGACAGTAAGTTTTGCTGCAGTTTGACAGTTGCATGAGTTTGTTTCTGATTTCATGAAAAAAACCCACAAAGTTTCTGTGAAGTCTTAAAGTTTTTCAATCACTCCTAATGTGCTTTTGAAAAATTAATTCAAGTTAATATATTTGTCACTAAACTCACTCCCTGCCTGTCTCAAGTTGTTTATTTGATACATAT